AAAAAAAATGCTTTACATTCAAGGAAATGACTAGAGGCTAAAGGAACCGTAAGAATTCAAAGTTAGTTCCTAGGCAATGTAAGTTATAATTTTATTCAGTAGCATCAGACAGTAACACACACATACAAAAAAAAATAGCCACACACATTAAAAAAAAAACAATAGCAGCAGAAAAGCGAAGGTGACAAATGTGAACGGCAAAAGAATGTTTGAAAATCGTTGAGAGTTTGTGATTGTGCCAATCATAAAAGGTAAGTTTTAAGACTTGTAGTTTGTAAATATTTTCAACTGTTAAGATWTCAAGAAGATTTAATAATGGTAATGGACTATCTGTATTTTTTTCATATAATGTCGAGAAAAAGGTAATTCTAGCAATATGGTTTTGTTTAGTTTGGAGTATTTTGATATTTGTTTTACATGTACTGCCCCATGCTGTAATGCTATAATAGAGGTATGGGTATATAAGACTGTTATAAATTTGTCGAAGTTGAATTGGTGAMAGATAGTGTCGAAGTTTAAAGAAGATATTAGTATTTCTTGAAATTTTTGAGCAGATAAAAGCAATGTGGTTTTTCCAGTTTAACTTATCATCAGTCATGACACCTAGGAATTTGATAGTGAATTTGAAGTATCACCCGAAATACAACATTCATAGGTGTTGTTAATTAGTCTTTTGGGCTGATTTGATTATAGTGATTTTTTATAGTTCATTGGAGTTTGTTGGCGTCGCACCAGTTTTTGACTTTTTCTAGTTCTTGGTTGATAATTGATTCAAGCTCTTGTTGGCCTTTAGAAGATGCAAACAAATTGGTATCGTCAGCAAAAAAGTCTAAAGGAAAGTTTGTCGGAGGAGAAAACAATGTCATTAATGTAAAGAAGGAAGAGTAAAGGTCCCAGCGTACTTCCTGTGGTATTCCACAAATGACTGTTTTCATCGAGGAATTAGTATTGGCCATAGAGACATATTGTTGTCTATGAGAAAGATAGCTTGTGAACCATTTAATGGGTTGCCACGGATGCCATATTTTTCCAGTTTTTTAATTTTTCAAGTTTATTATTACATGGCAAGGTAATTTCATATATAAAAATATATTAAATATGTATTTATATATTAAAAAATATGATATAGTCAAGTAAATCCGCGCGATCTGATTGGTTGAAAAGCATGAACCATTTGCCCATGGGTTGCACGCTCACGTCAGCTTTTTTTGATTCGGCGAAAAAAAAACTTTTTGTATCTTTTTGCTGACAATTTATCTAGAAAAGATAACTGAAAATGATTGAAAAAACTAGCGAAAATACTCATCAATCTCCGACATTTAGTATAGAGTTGTCATTTGATCAGCCTAGTAATAAAACGTCAAGATTTGCATCACTTTCAAACAGTGAGCTGGACAAGATTGTGTCAGGGTGTCACTCCAAAAAGACAAAGCAAACCACAAATCGGTCGGTGTCTACATTCATAGGTTTTTAGCAATGATTAAACAAATACAAAAATATTGTTATCGTGTAACAAAGTATTTTCAAAGTAATTAACTGTAAATATCTTGCTCACCATCTACTTCGCCGCTTCACAACTGCAGTGAAGTCCTTTCTGAAGCTCTACATGGGAGGGAAAGCCGACAAAGCATACTACCCAGAGAAAATTAATCCAGTTCAGTCAGTTAGTTTTGATCCGTGTTCAAGAAGCTTTCCATTGCTAAGTCATTGTGCGATAACAAACTTGGACATCGTCAACAACAACAAAGACAGCCACTGTGTTTTTCACTGATTTTCTCGGGCATTACTGTACTAACATATGTCAACATTAGAAATGTACTTGGCTTACAGTTGAAAATCACTTTCTCCGTAGTTTTGGACATTTTTGATTCGCTTGTAAGCTAAATTTTTGCCATTATTTTAGTCATAACAGTCTTCAGTTTAAAGCTGCCATTTTCAAAGCGACTGTTTTTCTGTTTATAGCGTCTTTGTGCTTTTCATTCACGCAAGGTGCGTAAGGAGAATTTAGGGCATGATCAGCAAATACAGTCTATAATTTGTATTTATTTCTTGTTTGTCGATTTGACTATATTATAAAAGCAATGGATCATAAGTAGCTGTGCATCCATCGAGTTATAGATGCACTTGGGAGGTTGCTTAAGCACTCAAAAAAGCTAGCGTTACACTCCGCTTCGCGTCGTGCAACTCTTACGCTTTTCTTCGTGCTTAGCAGCCTCCCGCGTGCATCCATAACTCGATGGATGCACGCTACTTATGATCCATTCCTTAATTTCTGGATGAAACTCGTCGGGAAACCTTAATTAATTATTAAAGATAACCAAGAGAATATTATTATTCTCTTGAGATAACTGAAAGTCACTGGCGTTTAATGTAAAATTTATCATAGCAAGCGGCAACTCCTTCGATCAAGGCTCTACACGGCACTTGTTGAGCGATTTTGTACGACTAGAAAAACTAGAAAAACTAAAACTAAAACTAGGTCAAACTACGAACTAAAGGATGGTGAATAGCGGCTAATTCAGTAAATGAAATTAAGATAGTTTTACAAGAAGATGAATTTTAAGTTTAAATTTGCTATATCTGTAAGCTAATACAACGTCAAGTTTGAAATTATCTGAATCGATTTGGTGAAGAAGCCAGTTGTTTATTTCGTTAACGCCGTCGGTTTTAACCAGTTTTCTAGCGCTCATCTGCTCTTGAAGTATTTCCATATTTCAGAAATATTTCATCCCCACTTGAATTTGAATGTATTTGTGGAGTGGGCAGTATATTTTTCAAATGAGTCGAAAGTGTGTCTTCGTGACTTCAGTCATTGTGCATATGGCGGCCTGCTTCAAACAGTCAAAACGTTGAAAAATGACGAAAAGCTATCCATGTTCAGCGAGCCGTAATTTTTCAAAGCTTCTCATCCATTTCTGGAGAGATTTTGAGTTTTTTTCCCAATAAAAGGCAGGAAAACAAACGGAAGACTGTAGTATTTTTCATCTTGGTTGTGCATATCTTGAAGTAATGTATGAGTCAATTCCGAAGGCTCCCATCCCCCCCCCCCCTCCCTTTTTCCGGGCATACCCCGGGCATTTGACCATAGTCAAGTTCCGTAGAGTGGGGAATTTGACGCTGAATATATGCGCGAACGGGCGGACATTTGACTTTTGACTCAACATAGCGGCCCTTATCTAATTTGCATAAATTAGCGTATTGCAAAATTTTACGCTTGTGGATCGTGCTTAGGCTGCGTTCATAATTTATACCGTGGGGGGGGGGGGGGGGGGGGGGGGGGGGGGGAGTGGGAGGCAGAGGAAATTTCAAAAATATTCCAAAATTTCAAGAAACCCCCCCCCCCCCCTTATGTCAAAAAACAATTATGCCCCTCCCCCCCTCCTTTAGCAGGTAATTGTAAAATTGTACCCCCACCCCCACCCCCCATATACCTAAATACAAACACTTCTTTGTCCTGATACCTATACAAAATCTTATGCAAGCCATTGCAATGACTGGTAACGAGAGCTTGCTATAGACTGTCTTCCTGATTGCGATACATACTGAACTGGAAGAGGAATATCGGTTTCCATTTCCTCCTCACCGACGATTATTTTTTTTGAAAATTTTTTACAAACTTTTTGAAAGGAACCAGTGAGCAGCACTTAGGATGCTAGGTTATAAAACTTTTTATTCTATATCTCCTATGCGTTTCGTCTAACTCTGTAGACTTCTTCAGGACGTTTTACAATAAAACTTTATAGTCCTGTATTTAAAGACTAACTATCCTTATCTACGTGTAGGAAACACCTATACAGGACTCTAACAAGGGAGGAACATAGTTTACGGATGTTGAATAATTTTTGAATAATTTCGGGGGCGAAGTTATAGCTATAACGTGTTTCCTTTACATGATAATGATTATGACGATAGTGATAAAATTGATGATGATGATGATGATGATCAAGATTACAATGTTATTTAAATAGTGGTGTACAATTATCCTGTTCATTAAATTTTTTGTTGAGTTTTATACGTAAACAATAAATATGTTTACGCTAATTTCCAAAGTCGGCAAAGATTTGAAGTCTTGATTCTTATAAAATTAAAGCTATAAATGATAAAACAATCTAATTAAAAAGGTACTTAGCATGAAACTTGTTGGATGTATGCAGGCTCAGGTTTGTACTTTTTAGGTAAAATTCAGATTCATCGGACTGGAGGGGCGGGCATTTGACCACTCAGTGGGGCCTGAACGTTGGGGAATTTGATCATTTTGTTGGCCCGCATGGTGGAGAATTTGACCAATTTTTTTTCAAAAAGTCAAATGCCCGGGGGGTTGCCCGGGGGGATGGGAACCTTTGGAATTGACTCATACATAAAGAAAGTTTGAAGTACGACAGTTTTCTTCTCAACTTATGTTAAGTTCTTAAGTTCTCTTTTTGATGCCTTTTTTGCTTTGCATTTACATGTTTTGCAA